TCCCTCTCACTCTCTCTCTCTCTCTCTCTCTCTCTCTCTCTCTCTCTCTCTCTCTCTCAATCCGTATGTGTGTACCGATGGCTGTGTGCCTGTCGTATTTTGTAGCAAAGCGTTGGGTAAAAATGTGTTTATTGTGCTGGCATTTATGGCCTTTGGGGAAGAGCTGTTATTTAGAGCTATTAAGTGACGAGAGAGAGGGAGAGGGGAGAGGAGAGGAAGAGAGAGAGAGAGGGAGGAAGAGAAAAAGAGAGATGGAGAGAGAGAAGGAGAGAGAGAAGGAGAGAGGGAGCAAGAGAAAAAGAGAGAGGGAGAGAGAGAAAGAGAAGGAGAGAGAGAGAGAAAGAGAAAGAGTGAGGAAGAAAGAGAAAGAGAGAGAGGGGGGGAGAAAGAGAAAGATAGAGGGAGAAAGAGGAAGAGAGAGAGAGAGAGAGGGAAGAAAGAGAAAGAGAGAAGGAGAAAGAGAAAGAGTGAGAGGGGGGGGGGGAGAAAGAGAAAGAGAAGGAAAAAGGGAAAGAGAGGAGGGAGAAAGAGAAAGAGGGAGAAAAGGAAAGAGAGAGAGGGGGGAAAAGAAAGAGGGAGGGAGAAAGAGAAAGGGAGAGAGGGAGAAAGAGAAAAACAGAGAGGGAGAAAGAGAAAGAGAGAGGGGGAGAAAGAGAAAAAAGAGAGAGGGAGAAAGAGAGAGAGGGAGAAATAGAAAGAGAGAGAGGGAGAAAGAGAAAGAGGGAGAGGGAGAAAGAGAAAGAGAGAGAGGGAGAAAGAGAAAGAGGGAGAGGGAGAAAGAGAAAAAAGAGAGAGGAAGAAAGAGAAAGAGGAAGAAAGAGAAAGAGGGAGAAAGAGAAAGAGGGAGAGGGAGAAAGAGAAAGAGAGAGGGGGAGAAAGAGAAAAGAGAAAAAAGAGAGAGGAAGAAAGAGAGAGAGGGAGAAAGAGAAAGAGAGAGGGGGAGAAAGAGAAAAAAGAGAGAGGGAGAGAAGCAAAAAGAAGCAAAATGCGAGCGTCTCTTCCCGGGATATTCCAACCTCGAGGGCCATAAAATAGACATAAACTTGATATTTTATGAGATCTCTGAAGACAAGTGTACTCATGCAAGCATATGAAAAACGCGCCCACGTTCGCACACACACACACACACACACACACACACACACACACACACACACACACACACACACACACACACACACACACACACACACACACACACACACACACACACACACATACACACACACACACACACACATACACACACACAAACAAACACACACACATATACACACACAAACAAACACACACACATATACACACACAAACAAACACAAACGCACACGCACAAACACGCGCACACACGCACACAGGCTGGCAGGGAGCAATCATGAGAATAAATCGGGCAGCGCGGGCCGAGTGGGCGGGGCTTATGATCTAAAGAGAGATAGTTGCCAGGTTACCAATAAACAACAATTCTACCAATAGCAATAAAAAAGCCACGAATAAGAATAGAAAAAAAAAGAATAATCTATGTAGCTTTTTTTTCTTTGTCCTTGTGTTTCTATAATTCATTTGCTTGTTTTGTTTATATTCGGTTAAAAAAGAAAGACGTATCCCTCAAAACCATTTGAAAATTTATTTAAAATTTGAAGTAAGTAAAATATGAAAGAGAACTAAGAAAAGACAGGGAAATATCTGCGTTTTTATTCATTCATTTATTCCGTTATTTATTTGCACACTTTCTTGGTTAAAGAAGGAAAGATTTGAAGTTGAGATTCTACCGCAGCTGATTCCCGGCTGCTCGGACGAGGACGAGGAACGACAGGCTGTATGTTCATATATATATATATATATATATATATATATATATATATATATATATATATATATATATATATATATATATATATATATATACATATATATGATATACATACACGCATATATATATATATATATATATTATATATATATATATATATATATATATATATATATATATATATATATATACATATATATGATATACATACACGCATATATATATATATATATATATATATATATATATATATATATACATATATATATATATATATATATACACACATATACATATATGTATATGTAAATATATGAAAGGAAAACTGCCACAGTAAGGAATGAGATTGAAATGTAACGTTTCGAACTCTTCACGAGTTCCTCTTCAGGCGAAAACGTTACATTTCAATTTCATTTCCTCCTCCCCCTCCCCTCCCCCTTAACCCCTCCCCTTCCCCTCCCCTTTAACCCCTCCCTTCCCCCTCCCCTTCCCCTCCCCTTCCCCTCTCCTTCCCCTCTCCCTTAACCCCTCGTCTTCCCCTCCCCCTAACCCCCCTCCCTCCCCCAGACTGAGCACCACCAAGGACGAGGAGGCGATCAGCTGCGGCCACGACAAGGCCTGGACGGCGCTTCCGGCCGGCCTCGCCTGCGAGAAGCGTGAGTGTGCGCGCGAGGGTGCCCGGAGAGGAAACCA